CCCCCGCCCCAAGTCAGGGAAATGCCCAAAGGAAGGCAAATCCAAATGTCTGCTCTTTGGAATTTTTGAGGCCATCTGGGCACAGGCAAAGATGAAGACCTCCCGGCCTGGTCCAGACTCCAGAGGCAGCCTTTGCCCAGGGCAGCCAAAGACACTCCTGCTTTTGCCTGAGTCCTTCACAACTGTTTGCACCCTGGAATGCATTCTTCATATTCCTGGAGTTTTGATGACTGCTGAATGTTCTTCTCAGATCACACTTCAACCACAATGGAAACACCTCCATTCTGGCCCCTGTACTCCTGTTCTTTCAGGAAAAAGCATCCCCAAACAGTGATGACTCAAGGGGGTTCAGGAGTTAGAAAGTTGGAAGAGATAATATAAATACAAGGGAAAGCCTGTTACTCTCACAAGATTCCTGAGATCCAATGGCTGAGGATCCCCAGGCTTCAAGGATATGCTTTAAAGAGAGGCCTTAATTTAAGGTACTGTGATCTCTGCTCACAAGAGCCAAGTACAAAGGTCTACTCGAGGCTGCTGGAGTTGTTCATCTCTTCCTGGGATTCTGGGTGCTCCTTTAACCTCTCTGGCCTCAGTCCTCCTGGTGTTGGATCACCCAGCCTCTCTGCTGAGGGACAGGCCAGCTGGGCATCAGGATCTGGATACATCTGCTTACATCCTGGTAATGATGACTGAAGGTGTTTTCCAACCACCAAAGACAGGCACAGCTATTAAATAAAGCCACCCAGCAAGGCCACCTCTTCTTCAGATGTTCGTTTCAGCATTGCAGAATGTGCACACTAAGCGTTAATAGCTGACACTAGCCAGCTGCTGCTTCCCTCTTTGATGAGGGCAAGCAAGTCCCACAGAACCATGCTTGGCACACAGACTCCGGTCCTATGGGAAACTGGTATCAGTCACTGCCCTCAGCTCCGATCCTATACTCAGAACCTGTATTATAATCTAGCTTCTGACTGGACTGGATTCTGCTCCAGCTTCTGTCATCAGGCAGATCTCTTAAGTTTCATCAGCAGAACCAGTACTGCTCACAATTATAACTCTAAGTGCCACAGTGCCTAAGAAGGAAAAGTCCCACTGGAAGGAACTGGAGGTGTAAGGTGGAAAGGACATGAAGCTCCAAGCCGTCATGACATTATAACACATTTTCAGAGTGGTAGGTTCGGGGAGAGGTAACAATAACTTAACAGCAGAGCTGGAAGAGGCACTCGGTTCCCCTGCAACTCTCAGCAGACAGAGGCTGTTCCTGGAAGTGAAGACATTCATAATACTGATAATGCTCAGCCCCAACACCAGCACAGGGTGCATACATGTGGTCACCAAGTCCTTTGCACAACAGAAGAGTACAACAGGATGCCAAGGGGCATCTGGATTGCACACAGCAAGATGAAAGGCTGCACTCCCCCCACAGAACCCCATTAAAAAAGTTTGTCTATTACAAAGTCACATTTCCCCCATCTTTCTGCTTTATAAAGTCAGCAATGCTGGAGGGTGTCTAGTGGAATCCATCTTCCAGGAACGACTGCAGAAGGAGAGCACACTGCTCAGGTACGCCCCTTCAGTGAGCAGACAGAAGGACTGCCCGAGCCTCCCATCCATCAGACAAACACACAAATAGAAAAGGATTATTGCCAGCTTGTGTACTTTCACAATGTGATTTTTGTATTTCGAAAGCTTGAATTGTCCCTGAAAGAGAAAATGGGAGAAAATAGAGTATTCAATACATGGACCATCTAGATACAACCGCACACATACAGGGGGAGGACTCAATCAGCAAATCTCCAGCTCTCCACACCCCAGACCTTCCTTCCTTCCTTGCTTGCTAGTCTAAAGTAAGTCAAATGGCAACCTGACTTCCAAGTTCCTGGAGAAGTGTCCATCCTTTTACTGGGAAAGGCAAAAGATTAGCAAATACCCCAATGCAGATCTAGAGGGGACGGGTCAAATCTTAAAGCAGGGCACATTCACACAATTGGGATACTGCAGCTTTAAAGAGAAAATGAAGAAGCTTTCTACTAATGTGGAAAGATCTCCAAGACCAACTGATAACCTCAAGTACAGAACAGCAGGCTAACACAATGACTGCCTCTGGAGGGAGTGGGACAGTTTCACACATATCTATCTGTTTATATACTCTTGTCTTTTTGGTTGTGCACCAGCCTTGCTTGTATATTCTTAAAGAAACCAAGAAACCGCCAAACACAACAGCTACCTAGGGCAGAGCAGAGGGACACAATGACATGCAGGCAGGTGGAACAGGGAGGAGGAAGACACAATCAGACAATAAATGAAAACCCACCCTACCCACCACGAATTCACAGTTGAAAACAGCTTATCTCCAGGAGGTGTACCCTGCAACCCTATCAGAAACTTTTGAACTCCAGAAAGAGGAACATGGGGAAGAAAGGGTATGTACAACTACGAGTCATTGCCTTCTACAGGATGCAGGCAGGCCTGGCCACCTTTCCTGTCCCATACTAGAAACCCAATGTCTCAGCAGGTCATATCACCTGAATCTCAAAATCTTAGATTTTCCTGGCAGGGACTTTAAAGACCAACCATCTGCGGCCCTAACTCAGGGTTTCAGGTTTAAATATGCCAGAAGTCCTGAAACAGGAATTCTCATTAT